CTATAGCAAATGGAAAATACAAGAAGTGATGGAACAACTGAATCATCTAAGGCTCGAATGAGCCACATGGAACAAATGTTTGCAGCTTTAACTGAGGCAATGACTCAACAACAACAGAGGCAACAACTGTTACCTCCTCCACCCCCGCCAGTCCAAGTTGAACCGGATAATAATGATCTTATAAATTTAACTCAGAAGTTCATGAAGATGAAACCGTCGACTTTCTTGGGTGGTATTGAACCGTTGAAAGCAGAGACATGGTTACTCGAAATGGAGAAATTATTTGAAGTATTTCCTTGTTCTGAGATTCAAAAAGTTCTTTTGGCCACCTACACTTTGAAAGATGAAGCCTAGAAATGGTGGTTGTTAATCCGAAATAGTAATGAGAATATGACTTGGGCGCAATTTAATGCGATCTTCTATGATAAATACTTTCCTCAGTACTTCCAGGATCGGAAAGTTTCTGAATTCCAAGAACTCAAACAAGACAGGATGTCAGTAGCCGAGGATGAGACCAAGTTTACTGAATTGGCTCGATTTGCTCCATATATGGTGGATACTGATTACAAGAAGGCATAGAAATTTGAAGGCGGTTTGGATTTGGAAGTGTATGACCGAGTAGGCATTTTGAAATTGCCCACGTATGTGGAAGTTTTAGACAGAGCAACAATGGCGAAAGCCACCTTGGCAGCAATGAAACAAGCCAAGGCATCAACAGCAGAATAGAGAAGCAAAAGGTCTGGATCCAATTTTCGGAAAGGCCGTTCATTCTTTACGGACAAAAAGCAAAATACCATATCTTCAAGCAGTACAAGCCAAAGCAGTGGATCTATGTTAATCTGTTCAGAATGTAGAAGGAAGCATAAAGGCACGTGTCACCATGCATCGGGTGCGTGTTTCAGGTGTGTCAAGACCGATCACATGATTAGAGATTGTCCAATGAGGTTCGACTATGCTAACCATCCGGCAGCAAGTTCAGTCGGATCCGCTCCTGTAACGAGGACCAATGCAAGAACAAATGCCAGGGGTAATACCGGGAATGAAACACTAAGGCAAGGAAGAGTGTTTTCACTAGAGCCTGGGGATGTGCAGAATACTGAGCCAGTGGTGTCAGGTATAATCTCTATCTATGCTTAGAATGCCTATGTGTTGATAGATTCTGGTTCCACTCATTCATTTGTATCGCATGCTTTTTCTCGGAAATTAACTAGACCGTTAGAACCTATGAACTGTTTGCTATTTGTGTCTACACCATCTGGAAGTGCTATGATATGTGCTTATGTATATCTGGCATGTGATATTATGATGGGTGATATGACAATGTACGTTGATTTACTGCCTTCGAGCATTAACCATTTCGATTGTATATTGGGCATGGATTGGCTGACGAAATATTGTGCCACTATTGATTATGTAAATAAAACCATCATGTTTAAACCACCTGGTATGCCTGAGTTTGTTTTCACTGGGAATGGGGTAGTTCCTCCGCCGTATTTGATTTCATTCATGAAAGCCAGGAAGTTGTTGAGGAAAGGGTGTCGGGGCTACTTATGTTGTGTAACAACTAAGTCTTTAGATAATGCAAGTGTGGAAACTATTTCTGTGGTTTGTGAAGTTCCTGATGTGTTTCCCAATGACCTATCCGGGGACTTAATTGATAGGAAAATTGAGTTTACTATTGATGTAGTACCTGGAACACAACCTATCTCCAAGACTCCTTATAGAATGTCGACTTCTGAACTAAAAGAGTTAAAAGTCCAACTCCAAGAACTCTGAGACAAGAAATTCATCCGTCCGAGTACCTTACCTTGGGGAGCTCCAATGTTGTTTGTCAAAAAGAAAGACGGGTCTTTGAGGCTGTGTATTGACTGTCGTGAGTTAAACAAAGTAACAGTGAAGAACAAATATCCATTACCCCGAATAGATGATCTGTTTGACCAACTCCAGGGAGCACAAGTGTTCTGTAAGATAGACCTTAGATCCGAATACCACCAGTTAAAAGTGAAAGGAGAAGACGTTGAGAAAACCACTTTCCGAACTAGATACGGGCATTATGAATTTTTAGTCATGCCATTTGGAGTAACAAATGCACTTGCTGCTTTTATGGACTTAATGAATAAGGTATTCAGACAATTTCTTGATGAGTTTATTATTGTATTCATTAATGATATACTAATTTATTCTAAAAGCAGGGAAGAACATGAGAACCACCTTAGAACTACCCTATAGATTTTGAGAGAAAAGAAGCTGATGCAAAATTATCCAAATGTGAATTTTGTCTTGACAGTGTGGCATTTTTGGGACATGTAATTAGCAAAGACGGTATCTCTGTTGACCCTCAGAAAATTGAAGGCATTGTGAGTTGGCCAAGACCAACTAATGTGGCAGAAGTGAGAAGCTTTCTGGGACTTGTAGGTTATTATCGCAGATTTGTGAAAGACTTTTCAAAACTTACTATGCCATTAACACAGCTAACTGTAGACGTCCCCGAACGTCTCGGGAGGATGAATCCCGTTCTGTTCATTTGGGCTCACCACAGTTCAGGACTCAAAGTCACGGTCCTGTATCTAATCTCGCAGAGTGCGATGCAAGACCGATGAATCATCAAAGAGTCCAAATCCGGCAAATCGTTTTTGAAAACAGATTTTTTTTTAAAGAAATGCCAAACATGGACTGCTTTGCCAGATACAGAGTCGCCACCTAAATATTTTATTTTGGGAAATTTAGGAAACCCTGACTCATTGCCTAAGGCCACGTGTCCGTCATCACCAAAGTTGCCTCGGCTCGGGAACTTGGGTACGATTGGGGAAGGTCATTTCGTGAGCACCCCCGCTCGCCCGATCAAAGATCGGCCTCTACCAACCATGATATCGAGTTTTGAAAACATTATGCGTTCTTATTCCGGTTATTAGCCTAGATTTACTGTGTGATGCGCACAGTATACAAGTATAAACTGGATCGCCTAAATTGGAACAAAACATCTCATGTTTGTTTTGAAAACGGTTTGCTACTCGCAAGTAGGCTAAAATGTGGATTTGCCACCCTTAGGTGGGCTTAGAAAACATGGTTTTGCCACTATCTAGTGGGCTTAAAACTCGCAGTCGATGAGTTGTTCCAATCCAAATAACCCAACCTTCACCCACAGGCATTCAGGCAGGTATATCACATAAGCAAATAGCCTCATGGTAAGCATGCTAACATGGCAGTCACTCACACACATGTAAGGATGCTAAAGCATAAACTTACCGAGTATTCCAAGCCAAAACAGAAGCTGATTAGAAATCATGCATGATCCTAAATATACAGAAATGCTTAATGCAATACATGCAAAATGCAACTATAGTAGGCTTGGCTATTCTAAACATGGCATATGATGATGCTACAGCTAATACGTATTTAACTCGGAATTGAAATACAATGCAGTTAGTATGATGCGCCGAGCTCGGTGCAAGCAATACAGATGAATGATGCAAACATGCAAGCATAAGTATGCTAATTGAAACATGCCCTAATCTAACCATCATAAGCGGGTAAATAAAAGGGAGAAAGACGTGGGGTTGGAAGACATACATCACACGCATGCACACTTATTACGATTGTGCCCTCGCTCGGAGGGTTCGAATAAATAATACACTCTGAATAATAATTACAGTCCGAATAAGTACAAAATCCTAATTAATTAACAACTTAACTAGGAAAGCGGATAAATTAGCATGCAAGCTATGGACCACCTCAGCTCTGTTCCGAATGATGAAAGATGCATGCTTGAGTTGCCTGACGCGAAAATCCATTGCGATGTCCCGATTCGCCTATGTTTACACTTAATCCTGAAATGTTGTGCGAAGCTCCAGAAGGCTGTTGATTTCTGATTTGTTACAACAGAGAGCAAGAAAGGGGCACGGCAAAGTATTTTCACATATGTATACATGACTACTCTTCAGGGAGTGTAGTCCTCAATCCTCGTGCCACCAATCACTCGATGCATGATGGCTAAGGAGTCGAATTGCACGATTCGATGTGATATGAATGCACATGAAAACACAGAGGGACCTAAACTCCATCATGGGTGATCCGGAGTGTCGGCGACCGGGAATTGTGACACGTTCCGTCACTCGGAGTACGAAAGTCCCTCGTTTCCCATGCTTGGGCTAACTCCAATCCCAAACACAATGCAAATGAGATGGCATACACAATGCGACTAACATACAACCTAGCATACGCAATGCTATGAAATGGCATACACAATGCTCTAACATGCGACCTAGCCTACGCAATGCTATGGACCGAAATGGCATACACAATGCACGATGGACTTACACCAACATGAGTGGACCTCAGCCACACTCGCATCAGTGGCCATTAGATGAAAATGAGACACCCGAAATGCGTGCACACATGCACGAATACCAAGGACCGAACCTAAGGCATCAAATGCTACTCTACCAAAGCATGGCAAGGATGAAACATGACATGGAATAGCATAAATTACAGCTCTAAAACAGCAAAAAATATGGTCCCGAAACATGCAAATATGTCACACAATGCAAGCTAGGGGGGCCCGGGTACCGAAACTAGTGAAATGCGTTACACTAGAGGTACCCAAAGCAATGCACCAAAGGCAAAACCAACCCCAAATAGACCCTAGGCAGGTCTGAAACAGTGGGGAAATGGCCTAAAATGATGGCTCGGAATGCAACGAAATGGAGCTCATTCAATGGTCGGTAAATGAGCCATTCAGGCCCGACTCTCAAGCACACTTAAACATGGTGACATGGCATTCATATAGGCTCTGAAATTTGATGTAAAATGGCCTCAAAACATGGACACACCTCCGCACATGCATGCAATGGACCTCAAATCTCAAAGTTAAGCATGGGTATTGGACTACAAGCATGCAAAACAAAAATCACTCAATCATGAGACCCAAAAACAGAGCTAGGGAAGTCCAAAATAAGCACATTATCAGTTTAAGACATGGCCAAAATGTGCTAAAATCAAGGTCCAACAAAGCATGCAAAGAAAGCTAGTGAACCATGAGTTGTTCTACAATTATATGAAGCATATGAAAGCTCATTAAACCAGTCAAAAACAGATGTATTCCATGCCAAAATATGCCCAAATAACCACTGAAACTCAGTCAATGCATGCAAAAATGATGAGCTCCTTTGGAAGGCCATGCAAGGGGTTACTCTACACCTATATGATGGACACATAAAAGGTCAAAAACACCTCTGGAAATGAGTTATGACAACCTTAAAACTCACCAAATAGGCCCTGGAATTGGCCTAGGAAGCATGCAATGAAAGGTCCCTTTGAAAGGCCTTGAATAGGATTGCTCTACACATGCATCATAGACATAAAATATGGCAAAATGGGCTTCGGACAGAGCTAATGCAGACCATAAAACTCACAAAATAAGTCCTGGAATGTGACTTCACAACATGAAAAAAGGAGCTCCTTTGGAAGGCTAACAAAGCTAGTAAAGAGAATGAGGGGTGAGAGGGTCACCCCTCTATGATTTTGGAGCTCAAAGATACATCTAAGCCACTGAAAATCCACTGGATTTCAGTGGCTAAAAG